AATCTTACGATTTGATTGGCTGAACAGCATGTGACAATACATGAACTTCGTGTAACATTGGACGGTTCCCCCTGTTGCGTAGTGTAGATAATCATGTCAATTACTCGTATCACGTCATAGGATCATAATTTACCAATTTTGTACCTTTTTATTTAAATGATAAATAATAATTTTTTCGAACCAATCTGCTGCACACATTTTTTGTGTTGCAAAATTTTGAGTGGCATGTCATGCGTCCAATATAATAACAAGGAATGACAAGATATTATTATGTATGTAACAAATAAACAAATATGTATTTTCAAGCCAATAAAATGTACGATTAAACAGCATTCTCGATCTACCTTCAATAAACAAAAATATAAGTGAAGAAAACTATTTATTGTGTATTGTTTAAGAATTAAACCTTTTTTCCCTCGTTTTGCCTTCTGCTAGTACAGATGGAAAGTGGTACATTTGCCGACCAGGATAAGTTTGACGAAGTAAGATCTGTTAGCTCGTTGAAATCTAGGTTTGAAAAGCTTCATCAACCAAAAAATTCTCAAACTTCAGGATTAGTTAGTAGTCATAATGTGAATGAGGATAATAAGAAATATTCCCGTAATGTATCACTTCCTAATACGGTAACCGTGAATCAGCAACCTAAACGACAACTTCAAAGGGGACCAGCTGTTGCGTTATCGTCAAGAGAATCTTCAGCACATAGTACCGACGTAGAGTCTGATGAGCCATTGAACAAAAATGGATTTAAACGATCATCTACAAAACCCATTCCTTCGCTTTCAAAATCTTCGAATTCTTTATTAGATGATAATCCATTTGATGACTCACAAGAAATTAATCCTTTTACAGATGATAATGAATACACAAACGAGTTAATTTTGTCTGAATCACCTCCCGATAAGGACCCGGGATATCGACGTACTCACGCAACTAATGTAACGCCTAACAAGCCACCACGCAAGCCTGTCAAGCCTATGAGAGCTAGTAATACGCAATCTTCAACCAGTAATTCAAAAAAACTGTACAGACACACAGATGATGATAATCCTGGATATGCACCACCATTACCTTCTAGACCTCCAAAAGCTAGTAAACCATCACCGCCGCCACTTCCTCCTAATCGTCCAGTGTTGACACATCGTGTGTCTGCTGACGACGATAATAACAATAGAACTCACGGCAAGCCCCCAAGGAAAAGTTCAAGAGCATATTTGGACTCAAATTTTGTTGACCCTGCTCAATCCGACGATGAGAGACCTGATGCATCTCAAATTAATCGTAGACTACCTAGCTATAAAGGAATTAGAGGCATTTCTAGTAAGGCTTCAACACGCGCAGTTGCAATCGGAGGTGATGTTGTAATTACTGATTCTGGTCATACTCGTGTGTGGTCAATTCTTGAGGGAGAAAATACAAATACAATTTCTCATGACGATTCAAAAGTGACATGTTTGTGTTGGCGTCCAGCACATCGTGTAGAAGATGTTGGACGTTATATATGGTGTGGTGGTAACGATGGACATTTATTTGCTATTGATATTCGTAGTGAAGATAAGTATTTTGAAATGAATAAAAAAGCTCATAATAGTTCCATAAATTTTATATTTCGCTATGAAACTCAGTCGTGTACCGAATTATGGACTCTGGACGTTGATGGAAAGTTATCAATATGGTCTGGAGATATTGATGGTGTCATTTCACTTAAATCAAAACCAGAACCATTTCGTATTGCACCCAACCAGACTTGCGCAATTATTGTCGGTGATTACCTTTGGACAGCCGCTGAAAAAAAAATTGAAATTTTTAATCCTCATAATAAACGTGATGTAAATGTTAAAAAGATTGATATCGGAACGAAAATTGGGAATATAACATGCATGACACAAACCAATAATTTATCACTTGTTTATATCGGACATGAAGATGGCAGAATTTCAGTATGGAATACTGAATCATATAAACGGGTAGCATTGATTCATGCGTCTGATTATAGTATCACGTCTATACTGGGTGTTAATGACTATCTTTGGGTTGGCTTTAAAACCGGCATGATATATATATATGATGTCACCAAAAGGCCATGGTTTACCATAAAAGATTGGGAGGCACACAAAAAATCACCAGTTGTTCATATGCAGTTGGATGAAGAAGGATTATGGAGAGTTGGCCGATTACAGGTTGTAAGCTGTAGTTCAGAAGGGGCAATTATGATTTGGGATGGGTTGATAGAACAAGATTGGATTGGTAAGTATTTAATTATCGAATCGATCATATAAAACCTAAAGTTAACATATCATTTACTTTTTTACAAGCTAATCAAATGAGGTTACGAGAGAAAACTTATTGCGAATATAGGGATATCAAAGTTCTGATCTGTTCATGGAATATTGGTGCTTGCAAACCTGCTGATCTAGAAAATTCTTCTGATGGGATTAGATTTGTGAGAGAATGGCTCGCAAGTACTAAGTCACCCGATATTATTTTTATTGGGTTTCAAGAAATTTTTGATCTGAAATCCAAAAAAATGAATGCAAGTGTGTATTATTTAATAATCTTAGATTGCATTATAATAAATTATTCATATTTATTTTAAATTATAATAATTTTTTTTTTAATTTTTTTTTTTAGAAACTATGTTTAAGTCTAAAAAGAAACTTAAAACGCAAGAAGAGAAACTTGAAAAACGAACAAAAGAATGGTGTGATAAGCTTACGAAGATGGTTGAACATGCATCAAATGGCGATAAATATGAAGTTTTTAGTACAGGAAATCTTTTCGGATTATTTTCATGTTTTTTTGTCAAGAAAAGCGAGAGAGAGAGGATAAGAGATATTTATACAGTGATGCAAAAAGTCGGACTAGGAGGGCTAAATGGAAATAAGGTATAATGCATTTAATATTTTATCCAAATTCATTTGGAATTATTATATTTATAAATTTTGTAATACCACATAGGGATCAATAGCAACACGGTTTATATATGACGATTCATCAATGTGTTTTGTGAATTGTCATTTAGCAGCAGGACAAAAAGAAACTACAGAGCGAAACAAGAATGTAGCTAATATATTAGAAAACACAGAATTTCCGATATGTTTCAGAGAATCATCATCATTGTATGGTGATTATGAGAATGTATTTGCACACGGAGGTGATGGTACTATGGTCTTTGATCATGAAATTTGTTTTTTAAGTGGGGATCTTAATTATCGAATCGATTCGCAACGTGATGTAGTCCTTGAAGCGATTAAAAAGAAAGATTATGATTCACTATTGAAACATGATCAGTTGATCAAACAACGAAAAAATCCATCATTTCGATTACGCTCTTTTTTAGAAGGCAAACCGAGATTTGCTCCAACATATAAATATAATCCAGGGGAAGATCAATATGATACATCAGAAAAATTGCGTACGCCAGCTTGGTGTGATAGAATATTATATCGAGGACCAAGGATAAAACAAGAACATTATGATAGATATGAATGTAAAGTGTCGGATCATAGACCAATTAGCTCATCCTTTAAATTGACGATAAAGGCTATAATTAGAGATAAACACTCAGATGCTAAGGAAGAAGTGTTAAAGGAATGGAAAGATACAGTTAATAAAGAGAAATTAAGGCTTGCGGCAAAATGGTTACATGGATGTGGATTTGAGCATGAAAAGATCAACAAAGTATTTAAAGAAGTGCATGGAAATCTACGAAGGGCCATTGAGATATTGAACAAAAATAAGGGTAAAAGTGGTGGTGGACGGAGATAAAGAAAACAAAATTAAATAGAGATAATTTAATCATAATTATAAAAGATTTATTACCAACCATAAATAATGTTTATATAATATCTTTAATTATTAAACGTTAATGTATTATCATTACCGGGTATTATTAAAATCTCAGAATTACTCGGATAAATTTTGGGTACATCTATTAAGGATTATATTCTGGACAGGAAAAAAAGTTATTGGTGGACCCTATTTTATATAAATATTTAAAAGTCAATTGTATAATTTAATTGAATTTTTAAAAAAACTCTAATGTATTGTTGCCATGGAAATATGGTTAAACAGCGTATAGTGAAGATAGTATGGTGAAGATAGTATGGTGCAGTAATGTCATATGATTCACTGATTCAAATTAATTTTTTTTTTTTAGATCACTATATTTTATATGTAAAATATCATTTTTTTTTTAATAAATAAAAAGATTGGATCTCTTGCAGTATAGATGACCTTATTTTATAATCAATTATGATCAATTGATTGATTTAATTAAAGGGTTACCTATACTGCAAGAAATCCAAAAAAAGATTTTATTTCAGGTCTTAATTAAAAAGAAATAAATACATTTCTTAAAAATTATCATTTATCATCAATGAGATGCCTCATCTAATTCTAAAATAAAGTTCGGGTAAGCCGATAGTCAAAAGATCCTCTAACCTAAAAATTCGAATTTTTTTTTTTTCCTTAGACGAAAAGGGAAGTTTCATAGACGAGATTCTGAGAAACGACTTTAAAAATTCATAGTCGTTTCAGTTTTCAGGTTACACCCGATCCTGCAGCCTGATTGGTAGTGATGCGATGAATCAGAAGTATTTAATTTTTCGAACTTCCCTCTGAGTGCATCGAATGCTTGGATCTAAGCCCAGGAATAAATATGTATTCGTGATAACGGCTAAAACTATCGCCTCTAATTAGTTAACTTTGACTTCAGCCACGATATTTATTGAAAACAAATTTTAAGCAATATCAATATTAAAAACATTTCTTAGTGTTAGCGCTAAGTGTCTACACGTGTGGCTTAGACGTGCGTGCACGTGAGATTTGACAGTATATTTAGTTATTTACTGTATTGTATAGTCGATCCTAATTGGTTGGTTATCGTTATTGACTGCTTCGCATTCAATAACTAACTATATTGAGGTCTTTGCTAGACAAATCAAGCCATTTGATTTCAATATATTATCGCCATGCTTATCTTGTTGATACTTAATCTACTTTGCGTTAATGATTTAACTTCTATATATTATTATCGTTATTACCTAAAAAGATTCAATAAAAATTAAATGATTTCATACATACGTACGTACGTACGTTGATAGACACAGATATTAATGTCCTTTTTTGTTAATCAAACCTTCGAATTCTCTATACGTATAAATTATATAAATCATATATCATTATACGTTAACAAACTAGTCAATCGACAAAATTTATGTACATATACCAAAAGTCCAGCAAAGAATATTAATTAATAATGATATTAATGATACGTTCTAATGATTTACTAAACTTTAATAAAATTAATAATAAAATTAATAAAATTAGACCCAAATATAAGCAATCTTTTTTATCATACGTACAAAACCTCTTTGTTGATTGACTTTATTCTTATACATACAGTTCGTTTTCGAAACAACGAATTGTGCATATACGTACGTACGTACTGTACGAAAGGTGGCTGGGAACATTGTAATACGAGTCTTAGCAAATGTCAACCAATAAAATTCGTTTGGGATTTTATTATTGATACACATATTCCTTTTCAACGTGTTTTATTTAAACGTGGCTGGGTTGAAAGATATGATCAATAAGATTTTGACACGGAAAATTAAGATGCTTTATTTTATTTTTATACGTTTAATTTTATCCGTTCACTTTCTAATTTTCTTATATCACTTAAATCGACCATGGCATTTATATGGATAAAACATTTATTAGTGTGCCTGTCCTTACTTTTAGTTTATTTTGATCTTTTACATGTAGAATCCTCTTCAATAACTACTCCAAAAAAACGTAATTATGAAGAATATCACTATTATGTTATAGAAGTTATAGATGATTCATTTGTTACTCCCCACGACGTGGAAAAGCTATTAGGCGTTCAACACGAAGGGCAAGTAGGTGTACTTGACAACTATCACATTTTCAGCTTTCGAAAAAGCCTTGCTGCTCGTTCCAATTCCGAATCTGAAGAGACTCACGACCGCGTTTTGGCTCGATATGAACAACTTAAAAACTTACGCCGATCCAACTCTTCAAGTAAAAAAAGGTCCATGCAACAAATCGATGCCATTCTTTCTGTTGATAAACAAGTTTTAAGAAAAAGGCATAAAAGAGCCCCTCCTCCAATCCCTACTCCTCAAAATGAAAATGATATTGCTAAATCTTTGGGAATTGCTGATCCGGGTTTTCAATATCAATGGCATTTGGTAAATCTCGGTGCTTTTTCTGCATATATATATATATATTTAATAAATATATTTAAATGTTTTATTGTTCCATATTCAATTGCTTTTCGGAAATAGCTTAATCCCATTGAACACAATGACATAAATGTAACTGGTGTCTGGGAAGAAGGTGTATATTTACTCGACTTATTTTAATTATATTACTCTCATCGTGATTTTATTTTGACCGTTAATGTACTAATTCCTTAGACAATAATCATTTCTATAAATAAGGAATAACTGGAAAAGGTGTCTATGCTGCTATTGTCGATGATGGTTTAGATGCGAACAGTGACGACTTGGCGGGTAATTTTGTATGTAACTTATAATTTATTTTCAATGAAAATAGTTTTTTATATCACTTTCTCATATTTCCTCATATTTCATCATATTTGTTTTCTTTAAAGTTTGCTGAAGGTTCTTATGATTTCAACGATGGCGTTCCAATACCTTTGCCTCGTTTGTTGGATGATACCCATGGAACGCGATGTGCTGGTGAAATTGCTGCTGTCAAAAATGATGTATGTGGAATTGGTGTCGCTCCTGATGCAAAAATTGCTGGTAAATAATTTATGTTTAAATATTGAATTATATTTATCTAAAATTATTGTTGATTAGCTTTTCTTTCTTATCTTTCTTTTCTTTCTTAAAAGGTATTCGAATATTGTCTGGACAAATATCTGACGCTGATGAAGCTGAGGCTTTAAACTACGCGTATCAAAAGAATGATATTTATTCGTGCAGTTGGGGTCCACCGGATGACGGTCAATCCACTGAAGCTCCAAAAGGTGTTATTCTTCAATCCATTATAAAGGGTATAAAAGAAGGTCGTGGTGGCAAAGGCAGTATATTCGTTTTTGCTTCAGGTAATGGTGGTGCCGTTGATGACAATTGTAACTTTGATGGTTACACAAACAGTATATATACCGTCACCGTGGGCGCTGTTGATCGCACTCATTCACACCCGTATTATGCGGAAAAATGTTCGGCCCTTTTAATATCAACTTACAGTAGTGGAAGTGGAAGCTATATAGTAATATATTTTTTTTTCTTATCTTCTTATCATGTTAGTATCAATATACTTACTAGATTTATTAATAACAAATGTTTGGTATTTAATGAATTAGTACACAACTGATGTCGGTAAGCAGAATTGCACTAGTATGCATGGAGGTACATCTGCTGCTGCACCAATTGCTACTGGTGTCTTTTCACTAGTGCTACAAATTAGGTATGTTTATTTTTATATACCTTTTGCTTTTTTGACTGTTTTAATTGATATGAGATTGTATTAATTTGTTATAGACCTGACCTCACGTGGAGAGATCTTCAATATTTAACAATGATTAGTGCTGTTCCATTCAATTTACATGAAAAAGAATGGATAACTAATTATGCTGGTCGTTTATATAGTCATAAATGGGGTTATGGAAAATTAGATGCGTACAGAATAGTACAAAATGCTAAAACTCATAAGAATCTTGGAAGTCAAGTATTCATAGAAATGCCTATTATTACTGTCAATGAACCAATACCATTTACTGATACTGGAGTTATAAGTAGAATTAATGTGACTCAGAAAGATTTGGATAATGCTAATTTTGCTCATCTGGAACACATCACTGTCACCATAAATATTGATCATACTCGTAGAGGTGATATTGAAGTAGACTTAATAAGTCCCTATGGTACGGTGTCTCATCTTGGTGCTACGAGGCGATATGATGAACATAGGGGAGGTCTTACCAATTGGACTTTCATGAGTGTAATACATTGGTAAGCAATGTTCATGATTTAATTATAAATAATCTTTTTGTATAATTATGTGTGTACCTAGCCATTTTTATGCGTCACTTTGTTGAGGTGAGCGAAATTTGTGTATTACGTATTAGAAATGATCCAACAAAACGCTGAAAATGGCCAGAAATATACAATAATCACGTTATTGGGTCTCAGCACCCTAGTGAATAATCAGTTATCATCAACAACATGACCAATACCAAGTAATTAAATATCGATTAATTTATCAATTAATTTATCAATTAATTTTAGGGATGAGTCACCGATCGGCGAATGGGTTATACAAGTGAGGGATAGACAAAACCCTGAACATTCTGGAACTTTTAATGATTGGATGCTTAAACTTTGGGGTGAAGCAAATGCAATTGTTACATCGCCAAGTTTACCATCCTCACCACCTCCTGTAGCAGGATCTCCTACTTCAACCCCTGTATTACCGGCTCTGCCAACACAATCAGGTACTACGTCTGAATCAAGGTCAAGTACTTGGATCTTTGCGATATTTGGAATGGGTGCGGCTTTCATATTTGCGGTAATTGCATATTTCGCAAAAAGACGCTTCTGGGATAATAAGCGTGGACTAAGTTTCTTTACGCGAGAACCGTATTCTCCATTGCAAATGGGTGACGCCACAAGTGGTGCTGACGTTTCTATGCCATTAAATAAACCATTTATGGCATCCAGAGAATTATTTGACGCATTCGGTGACAGTTCTGGGGATGAAGATGATGAAAGTACTAAAGTTGTATTTGAAAATGCGTATATGGATGAATATATAAATGACGATGAGAAGAAAGTTGATAATGAAGTTGACGATGAACAGAAAGTTGATAATGAAGTAGAATATATAAATGACGATGAGAAGAAAGTTGATAACGAGTAGAGTTTAGAACTAGATTATAGTAAACCAGGTCACCCGTGTTAAAACGGTTCAACCGGGTCAAAAAATTTACAACTTGGGTCAAAACGATTGAATATTTAACCTTTAAAAATCGGTTACTATTACACAGAAAAAACATAACAAAATTTAACACTTTATTATTATTGTATTGTGAATAAACACCCTTTTTTTTCTTACTAATTTATCTAAATATTCAATCCCGCTAATCTGGATTTAAAAAAAAAGAATTATTACAAACTTTTGGATGCTACTATACGGACTATCTATTGTAGCGAAAATTTTGTTAAAAATTTTCCTTTGTATAAACCTTCATTATTATTTTCTTTTCTTTGCTAATATGTAATACATTGTGTTTGACACGTTCAATAGTACG